AGCAATAGAAATGAAAAAAAAACCCTAAAGAATTCCTTCAAGGCTTTTAGGGCCATTTCCTGCTTAAAGCCTTTCTTAATCCCCCTAATTATTAGTATTTTCTCCCTCCTCAAATGACCATATATTTCCTCATCTGTGTACCTTTTTTATTCCTCAGTAGAATATACATTTTTTGAGGGCAGGGACTTTCATATAATAGGCTTGATAAATGTTTGCTGAATTGAATATAAGTATGTTGAACTTGGCCTTCTCAAAACCTTCCTCTGTAAATGGTCTCCATAGTATAAGTTAATCTTACCCTGGGAAGACTTCAAAGACTTTTTTTTCTCTAGAACAGTCTACTAGGACTTTGCTTCCATGAACCTTCCCTAATTCTTGTTCCAAGACGTTCTTCTTGAGATGTTCCAATGGAGGACTTCCTTTGCTTTTAAATATCAAACTAATTTCTAGCCTGAATGTTAGGATTACTTAGGACTGCCTACTTTTTAGCACAGCTCCACTCCCTCTTCTTGGTAGGCTCTGTTTTTCCCCAGATTCTTCATTTGCAGTGTTCCCCAAATACTATTCTACTTATAAATGAAAAATTACTTCTGATTTGAAAGTGGCAAAAAAAGTCTGAAATTTCATAGCTATTTTAGAGTTTTCATTTTGGAGTAAAACAGAGTTTAATTCAAAACATTATTCCTGAGAATTTCACATCTCTTTGCTAGGCAAGTAATCCAAATGATATCCTCCCTTTGACAAGATATCTTTTTACAAGTGATATCTTCCTGCAAACAGAACCCATCCTATCTAACTAACATTCCTTTTGGAGACAGATATAAACATTATCTAAAAAATGCTGTTTAATCTGAGATTTAGAAGGAATCTGTATGGAATTTGTTTTGAAATAAGTAATATCTGTGTGCCCACGCATGTGGGGCACAGCTCCTACTAAAATGCACATCAGCTCAATTCTGATGTCTAGACTTTATCTCACTGTCATGCACACTTATACTTAAACTGCATTGTGTGCAAGATTTTGTTCTAAGGACAGCTGCAGTCCCCAACTGTATTAGTGATTCAAAGGCTTTCAATTTTAAGTCATATTCTATAAGAGTAGGAGACACTTTCAGTAATATAAATGGAAATATTTGTCAGACCTACAAATCGCTTGAACTTTTGTAATGGTTTGGTATAAAATCATTCCTCTCAAGATAGAGAAATGCCTCTCCAAGTTTTCAGGGAGAATAAAATATTCCTTTAACAATTAGAAGAAGAAGGAGGAGGAGGAGGAAGGAGAAAGAAGGAAAAGGAGGAGGAAGGAGAAAGAAAGAGGAGGAGGAGGGATCTGAAGAGGCAGGAGGGAATCCTGACCACTATGGGGAGGCTGGAAGGTGGAGGAATGTGACCCAAAGAAGGATGGAAAAGGAAAGAACATTAAACATTTGAAGTTAAGTATTGGGTATAACCCATGACTCAGCCTCTCAGGTTTCAGAGCACCTGAACTGGATTTGATATTGTGTATCTTCAAGAATGGTTCTGTTACCTCCATAGGTAACCCCTGGGAACATGAAAAAGACTTGGCTTATCCCTGCTCCCTGCTCCCTTGTTATTTCCTATGAGCTGTTTTTGTTGTTGTTCAGTTGTTTTAGTCATGTCTGACTCTTTGTGACTCATTTGGGGTTTTCTTGACAAAGATACTGCAGTGGTTTGCCATTTCCTTCTCCAGTTCATTTTACAGATGAGGAAACTGAGGTAAAGATGGTTAGTTGACCTACCCAAGGTCACACAGCTAGTAAGTGAGGTTGGATTTGAAGTCAGGTCCTGCTGACTCCAGGGCTAGCATTTTATCTACTGTGCCACCTAGCTACTCCCCTGTAATCTGTAAGTCTCACAAATATTTCACAAGAACTAGATTTATTAGGAAAAAGAACAAAACAGGAAAAACAATAGAAATAACATCTTAGTCCTTGAGCTCCCTCTCCCCTGAGGTTTCAGGTCTCACAAGACCCTGACTCACAGTCTTGCTTTAGTATGATTCCAATTAAGTGCCTCAGGGGCAGCCTTTCTTTGTAATTTGCCTGCCTCATCCTACTCTTGGGCTCACTGCAGCTGCTGCTGCTATTACTATGTTAGACACCCCACCACCCTCTCAGGCTGGAGTCCCTGCACTGGCTAGCTCGGCTGTCTATCCCCAGACTTTCTCTTGGCAGTAGAGTCACTTAGCAGGCTGGCTCCCACTACACCAACTTGTTTATACAAACAACGTAGAATTGGAAGGTACCAGAGATTGACATGGGGTCAATTATGGCCCTACATATTGGGATGGTTGTACATTTGTTTTTATTGTATCTTTGAAGTAAATATTCTTTTGTAAAAGTTAATGTAACTATTAGGTAACTAAATGGAATGGGGGCAGGGGACCCCTAAAATTGAACGGACACAATCAGTGGGACCTTGAGCCATTGGCAAGGAGACTAGATACCATATCTTAAACCCTTCTTGAGTACATAAGAAACCTGGGGGAGGGGTAAAATCTTACACAGCTAGCCTTCAAGCAGTATTAATCCAGGCTAATCACTGTTACATGTGCAAGAAAGAGCAAGGAACCCAGTGTTGCTGTATCATAGAGTATATGGATGAGAGTAAAGTGTAAGAAGATAGAGGCATAAAAAGGGACCTTCCTTGCACAGGAAGGAATCAGGTTATGAAGGGTTTTAAATGCCAAACAGGTGATTTTTTCTTTTATCCTGGAGGTAATTTTTTGTTGTTGTTGTTGTTGTTTTTGGCTAGGCAGTGGGGTTAAGTGACTTGCCCAGGGTCACACAGCTAGTAAGTGCTATATGTCTGAGGCCGAATTTGAACTCAGGTCCTCCTGAATCCAGGGCCGGTGCTCTATCTACTACACTACCTAGCTGCCCCTCCTGGAGGTAATTGGGAAGAATTTATTTAGTAGAGAAGTGACATAGACCTCAGCTTTAAGAAAATCTCTTTGGCAGCTATATGGGGGGGAGGAATGTATTTGAGTAAGGAGAGACTTAAGGCAGGAAGGTCAATTAAAAGGCCAATATTCCAGGAATGAGGAAATGAAGATACTCACCAGAGTGGTGGCTATGTCAGAGGAGAGAAGGAGGTATATGTGAGAGATGTTGGGAAGGTAGAATTGATAGGCCTTGAAAGATTCAGTATGGGACATGAGAATGAGAAGTTGAGGGTGGCACCTGAGTTGTAAACCTAGGTGACTGAGAAAATAGAAATTATTCAACAGTAATAAGGGACTCAGGAAGAGGAGAGGGTTTTGGAGGAAAAATAATGAGTTCAGTTTTGGACATGTTGAGTTTAACATATTTACTGAACATCCAGTTCTAGATGTCCAATAAGAAATTGGAGATGCCAGTAAGGAGGTTAGGGCTGTATAAAGAGATCTGAGAATCATCTGTATTTTAAACCATGAGAGCTGATGAAATCACTGAGAGAGAGTACAGGGGGAGAAGAGAAGAGTGCCCTGGGCAGAGCCTTGGGAGATATTCATAGTCAGTGGGCATGAACTGGATAAACATCCAGTAAAAGAGAATGATAATGAAGGGTCAGACAGAAAGGAGAAGAACTGGGAGAGACTGATGTCACAAAAACCTAGGAAGGAGACAATATCCAGGAGAACGGCACGATCAAGAGTGACCAAGGGGGCAGAGAGGTCAAGATCTCATTTTCCCTCATCAAATAACCCAAAATGTGTCTTCCAAACAAGTTTGTAATGCATTGTGTGAAAATAATGCAAGAAGTATTTTGAATATAAAATCAAATGAGATAATATATGTTAAGAGCTTTGTAAACCTTAAGAAGATAGATAAATAAAAATTGTGTCAAGCTAAATAATAAAGACAAAGTTCATTGAGTTGGAGTGTCATATGGGTGTTAATAATGCTAGTTAGATACTAAGCTCAATTATTTCTGTGCTGCTGAAAGAGTGTATATGTTCCCATTGTCCTGCCCTAGTCCTAGCCCTGGAAGGGCTAATCCATTTCATTTGGGTGAATAATTTAATATCAGGAAACTTCCTCATCCTTCTATATGAACTGTTATATCAAATAGAATCTATTTCTACCTGATGCTGAGGAAAATGAAACTTAAAGAACATATATGTTCTTTAAATTCCATAATGGATTCCATTTTCATTATGTTATGAACCTCCATCCATTTCTTAGAACAAATTACATGGTAGTCCCAGTTCTTTTCATAGAATAAAATGTTTTTTAAGTTGGAAGGGACTTTATTAGCTCATCTGGTTCAATTCCCTAATTTTGCAGACGAGAAAACTGAGGTTATCTCATTTATTTAGTGGTTTCTAAAACAATTCTCTTTATTATATCATTCTATCTATTTGTTAAATTTGTTGTTGCTTAAAATAAATGGGGATCTTCAGGGGCTTGGAGTTTACTTGCAGAAATTTTCACTATAATTAAATTTGTTGTAATGGGGTTTGATTTGTAATCCTTGTTCTCTTTCCAAGTATTCATATTTAATTATTATAGTTCACAAGAGGTAGTTTGGCAGTGTGGATAAAGGGCTAGATTAGGAATTAGGAAGTCAGTTCAAGTACTGTTTCTGACATTTACTAGTTGTGTAACCATGGAAAAACCACTTAACCTCTCTCTGAGCCTAAGGCAACTCTCTGAGAGCAAAAATTTTAAATAGGTTGTGATCTTTCCAGGACTAATTTTCTTTCTTGGTTCCTTCCCCTTGTTCCTTGCTTTTTAAACTTCCTTCAACAATAAACATTTAAGAAGATCTCCTGTTATTGTTTGTCCTTCATACTCAGAGAAGACCACTGACATCACAATGTTGGGGTCAAGGTACAGTGTGTTCGGCTGTGACTGATTAGTCCAGCATGAACTTGGAAGGCACTACCACAGTTTGGGCACAATTAGTCCATTAGAACATTTGGGATGGAGATGTCTCTAGATTTGCTCATCTCACATTTCCTTTGTTCTACTGCAATTCTGCTTTGCTCAAGGAATACAGCGCTTTCTTTGATGTGGGCAAGCCATTCTGGGTGGTCCTCTGCCAGCGTCTCCCACGTCTCCGAGTCAATTTCAAAGTTCTTCAGAGAGACCTTGAGAGTGTACTTGTACCACTTCTTCTGACCTCCATGTGAGTGCTTGCCTTGTCCAATTTCTCCATAAAATAGTCTTTTAGGTAAACACACATTTGGCATTTGGACTTTGTGGCCAGCCCATCAGAGATGTGCTCTCCGCAATAGTTTGAATGCTTGATAGTTCAGCTCAAGAGAAAGCGTCAGTGTCAGGTACCTTATCTAGCCAGGTAATCTTCAAAATCTTCCTAAAACAATTAAAATTGGAAACAATTCAATTTTCTGGCATGGTGCTGGTAGACTGTCCAGGTTTCATAGGCATACAACCATGAAGTCAGCACAACAGCTCTGTTTGATATGCTTCAATTTGGTATGCAGCCTAATACCTCTTCTCTCCTACACTTTCTTTCAGAGCCTCCCAAACGCTGAGCTGGCTCTGGCAATGCTTACATCAACTTCATTATTTATGTTGACATCCTGGAAAACACACTGCCAAGGTAAGTGAACTTATCCACAGCATTCAAAATTTCTCCATTTGTTATAACCAATGATTCCACGTATGGATGGTGTGGTGCTGCTCTGTTTTCTTTGTGTTGATTGTCAGGCCAAAATTAGCACAAGTGGCAGAGAATTAATCCACATTCAGTTGCATCTCAGCCTCAGAGGCTGCATTGAGTGCACAATCATCTGCAAACAAAAACACTATTGCTGTGTCCTAAGTAGCCACATTCTTAAACTAATTGTCTTCTTAACTCTATCGTCAAAGTTTTCTATTACATTTTCATTGCTAGTGGATTTTCCAATCCCTTTCTATTCCCCCTTTCCTCTTGCTTTGCTAGGTCAAGCACATCTATCTTTTCCTTCTCCCTCAATCAACCTCCATAAATTCTTCCATCACCCTATCTCATTTAATGAGAGATCACTTTCAATTAAGAACTCTGATCAAAGCAATGATAACTATGATTGCAGAGGACCAATTATGAAGAATTCTACCTGACAGATGACTAATAGGCAGACTGAGACTTATTTTGGGGCATGGATATATTTTGCTTGACTATATGCATATTTGTTTTTCCTTTTTCTTCCTCCAAGGGGTGGGAAAATATCTGTTAGTTGAAAAAATCAAATTTAATTTAAAAATAGAAGAATAAAGAATGACTTTTTAGAAAATGCAAGAAACCTCCTCATTCCCTCTCAGGAAATGTCAGTCTCTGCTTTGGCAGAGAAGCCAGAATGATGGGCATGCTCATAAAATGAGGAAGAGTAAGCTTAGTGTCAGTATTATCCTAGCCTGCCTGCCTCCCTTCTGTTAAGGGTGGGAGGAAGTTGTGTTAGATTAGTGAGTGGTATATGTCCCCTCTTCCCTTTCTGTGTAAAATAGTTATTTCCATCTGGCTGTCAGGAATTCTCCCTGCCATTGACTCCTACTGGACTAGGCTGTTTCTCTGCTGCTGTTGAGGCCACTATCACTTCAGTAGCTATTGATAATTCTAATTATCCCCAGAGATCCTTTGATAGGATCTCTGAATCTCCCAAACTCACAATGTTACCTGGGTACTTTTATATCAAGCTACTCATCTGCCTAAGATCAGGAAAGAAATACAGAGACAGAGGCAGCCATGTGCTCACAGCTGCCAATAAGGCTGACACATCTCCCCCCCATCTCACTTTTTGGGTTGATTCTAAGTAGTCACGCTTCCTTGTAATTGTAAAGGAAAAGAGTGAGAGATCAGTGTGTCAATACTTTCATATGCACACTCTGTCCAGTGAGTCTTGAGTCATCAGTTTTTCTAGCTTCTCAACCAATTGAGTGACATTACATCATTATACAGTGCTAACCCATGAGCCACCATGGCCAGGAACTGGCTTTTCCCTAAGTTTCCATAGGGTCAATTGGATTAAAACCAGGCAGGGAGTATCTACACATACCTCAAAGACTCACACTTATATGCCAGTCTACCTCATTACACTCTGTTTTAACCTGTTTCAGTAATGATCAGTTCTTTTGTTGTTGTGTTGAGTTGTCTTTCTGTCATGTCTGACTCTTCATGACTCCTTTTGGGGTTTCCTTGGTAAAGCTACTGGAGTGGTTTGCCATTTCCTCCTCCAGTTCATTTCACAGATGAGGAACTGAGGCAAGCAAGGTTAAGTGACGTGCCCAGGGTCAAACAGTATCTGAGGCTGAATTTGAACTCACGAAGATAGATCTTCCTGATTCCAACCCCAGTGCGCTATACACTTTGCCACCTAGCTGCCCTCAGATACTTACCTGAGCTATATTTTATATTTGCAAAAGAACAGTGAAGTATTGTGGAAAGATTCCTGAGCTGGGAGTCAATATATATGTTTCTACTCTTGGCTTTTTTATTTAGTTTTATAACTATGTATAAATATTCTAGTTTTCGTATTTATTCAATGGTGACCATAATATTTTTACTGTATCTCACAGGGTTGTCACAAGGTATGTGGCTGCTAGATGACGGAATGGACAGGAAGACTTGTGTTCAAATCCAGACCCAGGCATTTGTTAGCTATGTGACCCTGGGGTCTCTTTCAACCTCAGTCTCATCTGTGAAAAAGGGGAATAATAATAGTCTCTACCTTATAGTGTTATAAGGATCAAATGAAGTGGTACATTTAAAGGACCCTATTGTTGGTGGTGGTCTTTCATTTTCAGAGAGGACCAATAAGGTCACAATGTTAGGGCACAATAGTGGATGGTGGGTGACATCTTGACTTGAGTGTGAATTGGATTTAAGTGAGGCAGAGTTACACAAAGTCATCAGCCTCATTCTGTCTTCCAGAGTCATTGAAGTCCAATGGCAAGACAAAAGTAAAGATGATTGGTGATGGCCCAGGATGCAGTGGATGACCTTGGCATCTTTGATGTCTGACCAAGCTCTAAGTACTTGCTTCAGCTGCCTTAATGGTTATTGGAATAAATTGTTTTCATCAACCCATTCCACAGGGGAAGTCTTTACATGCTTGGTGTAGCCATCCCCCTAATTCATTGATGAATTTGAGGCCTGTCAGTTACACTCAACCTGGTTTAGCCCATCTGCTGACATGATTTTACCAAGGTGTGGCTATTGCACATGCTACAGCTTCTTGGAGCCATAGGTGACAGTCGGGTGATAAGTGGACACCAAACGTGGGAAAACAACCCAGAAAAGGACTCAGCAAGTCCTCACAGGAGGGGTGTTAGTTCTCCCTGAACACTTCAGTATAAACCTTAAAACAACACAGAAATGTTAAATATTATTATTATAGTGAGTATCAAACGAGGAAATGAATAGGGAAGCACCTACAACATGAGCTCTTATTTTATAGGTAGAAGGAAGGAGGAAAGGTGATGACATTGAGGGACAAGTTCAACCAAGGTAATAACAAGGGAGAAGCAGATGGTGGTAAGGAAGAAGGTTAGCACTGCCTGGCATTGAGCCAGGGGATCATGCTATATTTCACAGCTCTTTTGGAACTTTCCTGTGAATCTGATGGTGGTCAGGCTGCCAAGTTTGAGAAATCAAGGATGGTTCTCTTTTTCCCCCTTCTAGAAAGTCATAATAGCCTCTGCTCCTCACATCTCATGTCTGAGAAATTTCCAAGGTCTAAAGAAACTGAGATAAATGTTTCCCCTTTCTAACCCAATTGAATATCACAAAACTTCAAAAACCAGGTCAGTGAACACCAGATCAATACTACATAAGGCCAAATGCCACTGGTTCCATCTCTGGTTTTTGAATGAGAATAGGTAATAGCTTCGTAGTTTTTCCACAAGTCTGAAATTCAAAAGCGCAGTTCTCTGGGAAATCTAAACTAAATGTTGGCTAGGAAGGAGGAAGCCGAGGAAAATGAGTCAAATACCATTCCAATCCTTTTGGTAAGTAGAGAGCAGAAAAGTAAAAGAAGTCAGCAAACCTTGAACAATTTAATCATTCCTTTCTAGAACAATAAAGGGGAGTCCATTCTTCCATTCACATAATATTTCTCTATATATTTACCTCAGGATGGAAATATAATGGTTTATCTTTTTTCTTTTCCTTTCTCTCTTTCTCTCTTTCTCCTTCTCTTTCTCTCCCTTCTTTCCTCCCTTCCTCCTTTCCTTCCTTCCTCTCTTTCTTCCTTCCCTTCCTTTCCTCTCTCCGTCTCTCCTTTCTTCCCTCACTTTCTTCTTTTCTCTCTCCCCCTCCTTTCTTCCTCCTTTCCTCTTTCACTTTCTTCCCTTTTTTCCTCTCGTTTCCTCGTCTTTCTCTTTCTCTCTGCATTCCCATTCTCTTTCCCTCTCTCTTTCTGCTCTAATGAGGTTTAAATCCCAGTTATTATATAAATGTACAAAGAGAAATTCAACTCTGTAAGTAGTTGAGCTCAAATGCAACATCTGAAGGCCATCAGACCCTTGCTGATTTCTTGAAAGGTTTCCTTAGTGTCTTTGTCCAAGTAAAAATTCCCTCTCTTCTCATTGATCATTTCATAAAGACTATTTTTGTTTTGATAGAAGGACCCTAACAAAATCTCTGAGCATTTTTGTTTGAACTGAACTGTGAACTTGTGAAATGATGTCCAGGCAGGAATCCAAGCGAGCTCTGCTGGATTCCTGGCAACTAAGAAAGGGATTCTGGTAGTTACAAAGCCTTCCTAATGACCTTTGAGATCAGGCCTTTCCAAATGCAAAGTGGATACTGATCCAAGTACTTCTTTTATGGGATACTGATCAAACTTTTTTTATGGGATACTGATCCATTTCCTAGCCACCCACTATATAACAAAAATGATTGTTTTCTTGTGAATTTTGGGAATGAACTCAGTTGAATTACACACCCTCCCCTCTTTTTTGATGGGGGAGGGGAAGGTAAAATATACAACAGTAATATTATCTTTTATGAAAGACTCTCCTCTAATTTCCTACTCCAGTCTACATGTCAGTTTCATATTACTTGGTGGGCTTGGGGCAGCAGTATATTTCCCATCAGCTAAGCTACCTCCCTTCCCTCATTTAAACCTTTCTCCAATCCCATCTCTTTCATTAACAACTATATATTTTTTAGTCTTCCTCCAAACCCACCTCTTTCAGGAAGTCTTCCTAGACTCATTGATTGATACTCCTTACCTCTCAGAAACTGATGTGTTTAGCCATTTACCTTCCCTGTAGGTACTAATCAAGTCTAGAAAATCAGAAACATCTGAGGGAAAAACAGAAATCCAAACCAGAACATTAAAACCAATCATCACATAGTAAAGATTGTGTGTGTTCTGTTTTGCAGGATCCTATCATACTGGGTCTTCCTGAGTTCAAATCTGGCATCAGACACTTGCTAGCTGTGTGACCCTGGGCAAGTCACTTAACCCTGTTTGTCTCACTTTCCTTCTCTGTAAAATGAGCTGGAGAAGGAAATGGCAAACCACTCCAGTACCTTTGCCAAGAAAACCCCAAATGGGGTCATGAAGAGTCAGACACAACTGAAACAACTGAACAACAAAAATTATACTGGGTCATGCTATTTTAGCCTGTATCTCATGCCACTTCTGAATGCAAACTTTCCATGGGAAAAATCCAGGCTAAAGAAGAATTCTGAACACTGGACAAATATTAAACAGTAATTATGGTAATTTCACATCTTAATGAGGCACTTAAAGTAGGCACTTTAATTGCTATTTTACCCATAAGGAGAATAGAGCAAAGGAAAGTTTTTTTTTTAGTTAAGGGCAGGGAAAGGCAAAGTTACTAAGTTGAAACTTGATTGTTTCTTAAGTCTCCCCTCCTTTAGGTTAGCATCTTGGCTAAGAAATAGTTGTTAATGAAAGGTAATATCCTTTAAAAAGAAGGAGAACAGGTGAAAAGTAGATGCAGGTTGTTTTTGAGATGTAAACTGAGACAAAAGCAGGTCCTATTGTAAAGCTCCCAGTAAACTGAGGATGGACAGCTGATGGCTATCTGTTTTTAGAACACCATGACACCATGAAGACAATGATGCTGTATTTATGTAATAATATATACTTAGATAGGGGCCAAGTGAGATGCTGTGACTTTTAGCCCACTATTCTATTCCTTATTGGACAAGGAAAGGAAAGGAAAGAGAAGGAGAGGGAAAGGAAAGAACAGAGAAAGGAGAGGAGAGGAGTACATGTATGTATAATAGCCGTGCTTACTTGGGGATTACAAAAAGCATGCACAGAACTGCTCTTCTTGTTTCTGATCTGCCACGTGCATGACTCAGTGTTGAGAATAATTCATGCTTTGAGATAATTATGTGTCTCTGGGCTGACTATTAAAGGTAAATGCACTGTTCAGGACTGGTGAGAAATATTGACCCACAGAGGACTATGACCTTAGGGTAGCTGCTCTGTAGGAGGTCCTAGTTTGGGGTACTTTGTCTGCGTAACATATTTAGGTTGCCCACTTATAGAGGCCCACTGGAGAGATTCTCTGACCAGGATCTTCATCTGAAATAATCTAATTTTTCAGGGATCCATCAGGGAAATTTTTTGTTTTTCTATATTCTTTTGTTTTCAGATTGTAACTAGACAGTTTTTTCATATATTTTCTTTACAGTCAGAGCATTTTCTTTCAGATAACTTCTGTATGAATTGAATGCTTAAAATCTGCTATCTGTTGCATTACCCTGTCCATTACAAGTACAGGAGCCAATATGAGCAATATGGATGTTTCCTCTCTAGACTGCTGTTGCCTAGCAATGTGCCTAGAAGCACACTATGGGAGCTCATCCAGGTTAATTTTTAAAAAATTGCTGTTGAGCAGGTCTAAACTATTGCCTTATTGTGACATATGTCAGGACAATTTGCATGAAATCCTTCTGGACTGCAGGATAAAGTGTGCCTGATGGCCCAGAAATCCCAAGTAATCAACTCCAAGTCCTTAATAATTTTTAAAGAGTCCCATACCTCTTGTATGATTTTGATTTTTTCACAAACTAGGGGCAGCCAGGTAGTGTAGTAGATAGAGCCCTGAGCATGGAGTCAGGAAGATTCGAGTTCCAATCCAACTTCAGACATTTTACTAGCTGTGTAACCTTGGCGAAGTCACTTAACCTGTTTGCCTCAGATTCCTCATCTGTAAAATGGAGATAATAATAGCCTCTACTCCTTAGGGATATTAAGAGGATCAAACAAGATAATTGTAAAGCACTTAGCACATTGCCTGGCACACTGTAAGCAATATATAATTGTTAGCTGCTACTACTATTATTATTATTATCATCATTAGCCTGCTTGTCTTAGTGAGGGATAGTATGGACCTCCATTTGGAATGTCCTTTGTGTTGCAGTAAGATATTAGAGAAATTTTATTTGCAAAGACCCAGAAGAATTTTTATAGGGAACATTTTGGTTTCTCCTCTAAAGGTAAGATGGTGACTTCCAGTCAATCGAGGTCCCCTATTATTTTTGGAAGCTTTGTTGGGAATCATACTTTTCCTTTGCAGGAGAGGAAAGGCCAATTTTTTTTTTTGCTTTCCCTTTCTTTTTCTTTGCTGTCTTTGTGTTGGGATAAATAAGCACCAAGGCAGGCAGTAATTGAGAGTTTTGAAAAATGTGTGTTTCTTGAATTGTATAACCATGTGTTTGAAGGTGAGAATAATCTATAGGCCCACCATGTATGGTAGAGCTGGACTTTCATGGAAATCTACTAGTTTTCAGGTTGTTTAAGGACTGTGCTGTATGTTCTTTGCTCATACCCTAAGGGAAAGTTCCAAAGAGCAATATTTGAACTTTCCCAAGACACTAGAGAGCTATCCAGAATTTGGGACTAAGGACAAATGAAGCAGAAGTACCCCAGTTGATTTACTGGGGACAGTAGATGTTTAATTAGGGAGAGAATGTAATGGAGAGGAGAATTGATCAGGATGTCCCCCATTAACTGATTCTCCCCAGTCTGGTAGATGTTGATGTAATCACAGAAAGTAATAGGCAGGTAATAGAGAGATTTTAAAGTCTTAAATAAAGTGTAAGGAAGGTCTTGTACTTTGTTAACCATTTATGAAGTAAGAAGAAATTCTCTGATCAAACTAATGAAGAGATAGCAGCTAGCCATTGGATGACCAAGAACAAGCCATACTCTTGGTGGCCCTTTAAAAGGGCCACCTTAACAATCTCTAAAGAGTTGAGAGTGTCAAGATCCCCAGGCCAAGACCACCCCTTTCTTTTTACTCTTCTCTTTTTACTATTAGGAGACACTCTGTTTTCTAGAACTGAGACCCAGCAAGCAAGCTTGGCCTTGAGCTTGGCATAATGACAATCCTTTGCCCTCACCCTCTGGATAAACTCGGCCACAGTAAAATCCTAGAATTGCTTCATATCAGCCCCAGATGGTCCTTAAGCTCAAACAAGACCCTTCAGGATCCATATTCCACTCATGAAGCCCTGCTATGAATCAATCTTGTCTCATTATTGCTGCTACCCCTCATTGTTAGGTCTACAATTCACTGCTTAGCCATTGCTATATGTGTTAAGATTTGACCTCACTAATGTGGGTCTCCTTCTAGAGGAGGCCCCAGCACATGTCTAGTTTCCCTCCTCTAACAGAATAAAGAAAGCTTTTTATTTATGACCATTGTTAACTCTTTGGATTTTGTTTTTATTTCATTTTATTTCTTAGTTGTGATAATCTGTGTGAGCTCTTTGGTATTTTCAGAGTTAACAGCAGTTGCATAACCTCTGACTCTTTGGTCATTTGTTTTCAGACTTGACAAGAGTCAAAACAGGCAGTACTTCTATGGACTATAAGCTTTGGCAGCAGAGAAGAGAACCAGCTATGACTGGCTTTTAGAGAACATAGCTTTTGGGAGAGATTTGATCCTTGCTTCTTGGTGGGAAAGGGAGAACTTTCTCTCCCTTTCCCACCATTGGCTGTGGGATCTAGCAGTGGTGCTACTCACCAGTAAGAGAAACCATGCCCAGCAGATATTAAGCATTTGAGAGGTGAAACAGCTTTGAGGAGTCAAGAAGAGAAGCTGCTCTGGCTATCAAGAGTTGAACTGCATTCTTTTTGTGGTGGCAAAGAATTGGAAATTGAGAGGATGCCCATCAATTGGGAAATGGCTGAGCAAGTTGTGGTATATGAATGTGATGGAATACTATTGTGCTATAAGAAATGAGGAACAGGCTGACTTCAGAAAAACCTGGAAAGACTTGTATGGTCTGATGCTGAGTGAAGTGAGCAGAACCAAGAGAATGTTGTACACAATAACAGCCACACTGTATGATGACTAATATTGATAAACTTAACCCTTCCCGGCAATACAAGGAGCTAAGACATCTTCAGAGGCCTTGTGATGGAAAATGCTATCCATATCCAAAGAAAGAACTATGGAAGTTTAATTGCTATTTTTTTCTCTTTTGTTCAGTTTTGTTTCCTCTTTCTGATGGTTCCTCCTATTGGTTTTAATTTTTACTTACAACATCACTAATGTGAAAATATGTTTAACATGAATGTAAATGTATAGCCTATATCAGATTGTGCACTGTCTTGGGGAGGGTGGTGGGAAGGAAGGGGGAGAAAATTTTTAAACTCAAAAGCATATGGAAGTGATTATTGATAAATCAAAATAAATGAATAATAAAAAAGAGTTGAGCTGCAAGAGAGGATTAGGCCTAGGGAGCCCAGCTAAGTGACTTGCCCAGCAGAGATGCTTCACACAAGGGGTGCAGTGTTATTACTCCATAGGAACATAAAAGGGAGTAGAAACATACATTTTCCAGCAACACAGACCCATACACAGAGAGGGAGTTGAGTCAAGTCATTTGAGACAGAAAGCAGTTTCAAGGATCAAGGGCCTCTGGCAGCAAAGAAGAGAGCCAATTATATATTCAAGAAAGAACTAGCCTTGGCAACTAAGAGTTGAGCTATGGAGAAGAAAGGACCCTGGGAACCTAGTTAAGTGACTAGTATAGCAGAGACACTGTCTGAGATGGGAGATGAGAGATGTAGTCTGAGGACTCAACAAGTAAAGAAAGCATATTGAGGCTTTGAAGAGCTGAAACCAAGAGGTCCTTGATGACATTTGTTACCTAAATGTGTGTCTCACTACAATTATACTCCAAATTTGTGTGTACTCTTCTCCTGGGCACTGTATGCATTTATGGGCTTCATGAGTTACAGTTTGGGAAGGTTCAAATGCTGAGGTACCCTGGAACCTAGGGGTAACATCTGCCCTCTGGGAACAGAACAGGTTAGGAGAGGGCAGTTACCCAGAGGGTCACTACATATACAACAATATGGCTTCATTTGTTCTTCCTTGGGTTCTCTAGTGATTGGCTATATCATACACATTCATTCAATCAGTAATCAGTCAATAAACATGTATTAAATGACTATGATGAGCCAGGCACATGCATTAAAAGAAGGGTGTCTATAAAGTAGTTATTAATGGCAAAGTTGTATTTTGCCTTTAGGTAATTAAAAGAAAATTGTGTGTTGGAAAAGACATCTGGAAATCCAAGTTAGCTGTTGAATATGACTCATTTCCTTAGAGTTTGTTGAAGCTGTTAGTCTCAGTTATATGCCAGATTTCTGACAGAATGAAAACATCTCTCTTCTTCCAAACCAGTTGCATCGTTTTGTCTTTAGCACTTTTTCAGAGATAATCTTAATAGGCATCATTCTTATCCTTCAGTTAATTAAAACACACACACACATACACACAGACACATGACTTGGTGTTGTTTCTGTTGGTTAATAAAGGATTTATTTCAATAAATATTATACCTACTTTTTATGCTGTTGAAGCAGCTTCTTTCCTTTGATAAACAACCCATGCATCACTAAATAATGATGAAAACCTAATTAACTGAATTTTCAAATAGTTCTGTAGGCAAGGATTTTGACTAACTGAAAAAAGTCTTAAAAGAGCTCTTTTTCTCAGCCAAATATGATTATTTTTACTAAGACTGAAAAACAATTTCAAAAACCATTTGAACTACTGCAGCGAAATATTCAGCTACATTTCCTTCTAAAGTGTTTTGAATATCCATGTAGCAATCATTAACTTTTCTTCAAGATGGAAGCAGAGCTAAGAATTTATAAGCCAAAAGGATGGCCTCTAAGTTTGTTTTTCTTTCAAGGCTTGCATAAGAAAAGTATTCGATAGTGAGAGCTATTTTTAAAGCCCTGATAACTTCTTATCAAGGAGAGACAGAGGTTTTAAAATGTAAACCATAACCTAATTTGTTTCACTTCAACAAGCACTCCATAAACACCTATTATTTTCTCAGTCACCGTGCTAGAGATTCTATGCCTGGTACTTAGTAGATACTTAGTAAATTCTTTTTGATTTTCTGATTGACCATCTATATTTTGGGATCATTGAGCATTTTCCCTACTTGGAGACTAAATGATATGAGATCCATCTAATTTTTGGCTTAAGGTATGAAGTTTAAGACTAAAGAATAACTATTGACTTTTTCATTTTCTCTGTTACCTCCTTCCTGGGTATTGTTCTAAAGGCAGAATCCCCAGAGGAAATAGTTTATGTCTGTAAATGTCTTAAACATAAACTCTTTAAGCATTTCATGGTGAGAATGATGTGCTAGCTTATAAAACCCACATTCAAGTAACATAAACTGTCCTGTGCAAACAGAGACCAAAAGGAGTGAATCTTAGATCCAGGAGAACACATTCACACCCTGCAGCATGAACAGGGGTTACTAAAAATGGTCCCAGTTAAAACTAGGCACACCTTTCTGAAAATAAGAAGAAAGAAATTACTTACATTTAGGGGTTAAAACTATGGCGCTCCCTTTCTTCCCTTGGAAGTTCAGTCTGACCATTGAGGTTCCATTCTGGCCCTAAAGCTTGGTAAATCTTCAAGGCTTTGTGGAATGTGTGGTCTTGCACTTGCTGTTGGTTTATGCTAACAGACGGCCAGCAGCTCTTCTTGTTGCCATGACAACAAGGAAGGAAGCCTTCAGCCTCTTGCTTTCTTTAAGGACCCAGAAGGATCACTACCTGTATTATTTTGAGTTTGGGTGTGCTCAGCTCGAAACTTTACAGGGCAACAGGGGAGGTTGTTGTGATAGGACAGCCTTGAACAAACTCACTTTAGTACGAGAAAGCTTACTTAACAGGAAATTGCATGATTAATTTTGGAACACTGAAACTCCTGACATGTTTTCCTCATATGGCTATTTCACTCTCTGGCCATTTGCTTTCTGAGTTATTATACACAGTAAATGTCTGTTCTCCAGCACTAATTGACCCCTCACAGAGGAAAAAATTAAATGCTTTGTAATGTCATCTCTAAGGATCGGCCCACCTTTCTTTCTTCTCTATTTTAGTTGTATGACTAGACAAACATTCTGTTTATTTCACTCACAATCTTTTCTCAGTTTTTCTTCTCATAGAAAGTTAGATCTGGGAAAGAATGTAAAGGTTATTTGTACCCACCCATTCAACTTAAAATGAGAAAAATGGGAACTAGAGTGATCATGACTTGTCCAAAGTAACAAAATGGATTTTTTTTTTAAAAATGGGACTACAACCCAGGTTTTTAGACTTGCAGCTTTCTACTCTTAATACTTAAGAAATAAAGTTTTTCAAAACATGTAGCACAGTCAGGTGACAACAGTTAAAGTCATTCTACATGCTTTTATTGAGTTTTATTTTTATTTGGTAATATTGACTATATTACAGTTAATTTTGCTTTGATTTTTCAAGGTTTTTTCCTTTTAAAATAAAATAACACAGGCAACTCCCTGTTATGATGACGGGCTAGCCAAACAGAGATAAAATATGGCATGACTTGAGAGTGTAGAAAGTTAAACATTTACAGTAGGATTTCTATTTCCTCATATTTTAAAGCATTTGAGGTTACTCTATTTGTTTTCTGTATTAGCTAAAGTAAGCACTTAAAAGTTGGTTCAGCAAGAGTGTTGGAAAGAGTAATAAACCACTTACTTTCTATGTGACTGTGAGCAAGTCATTTCTTCTCTTTAAATCTCAGTGTCTTCCTCTATAAAATGAGGGGAAATAATACTTTTCCCGCCGTGCTGACAGCGTTGTTCTGAGCAAAGTGCTTTATAAGTTTTAATGTTTATGAAGCCGCTTTGGGGTGGGACAGATCTTGCTCTCCCATGATGATTACGGGAAATGTAGGTTGAAGCTTGGACAGAATGAGACCTTGATGTAAACTAGATGCGGAGCCTGGAAAACAAGCCAGTGGAATCTGAAAAAAAGGAAAGCTGGGGGGTGGGGTGGGGGGCGGGACGGGACGGGTGGAGAGGGACAGGGAGAGGGAGAGGGAGAAGCGGGGGCACCATAGGAAGAAACAGGACCGAGCAGCAATAAGCCCTCATTCCCCAGCGCTGAGAAAGCGGTGGCCATAGGAGAGGTTTAGAAGCTGAAAGTGAACCGTAGCCTCGACCAGCAGGCAATGGGGAGGAATTCAGCTGTCACCATCTCAAACTTCCTCCTTCTCCAACTTGTTTGTTGGCAGTTCGTACTCCGGGTATAAGCTGTTCCTTTTTATTGCCTTTTGACTTTTGTTACTATAAAAGTTTGGTCTACAAGGATGGCCTTTGCTCAACGTGACTATAAATGTAGACTAAGGATGCTAAAGTGGGAGAGCAGCTCTGAGAAGTATTTAAAAAATATTTCCAGAATAAACGATATAGGACCCCATATCCTGGCTTTGTGGTCGAGGGGACCATCGGAGGTATATTTTCAAGCCATTTATTCTATGTGTTTGACAGTGTTATAAAATGCAGAGCAGAAATGAGATGAAGCCTGAGTCTTTTTTTTTTCCTGCCTATTCCTCAGACTACATGGTCTTTCATTTTTATTGGTTATAACCAAATGTGGGTCACTGGGAGAGAGCTTGATGGGCCCCTGAGGCTGTGGGAGTAGGGGACACATAGCTGAGTGTTACGGTGGCACCTGGGGGTTATAGCTATATAAATACATGTGTAAGAAGTTCTGGGATATTTGTTCCATCCCGGTGCCTTTTTCTGTTGGGTAACTGAAAGTAAACTTTGTCACCCAAGGGCTATGTATGCTGATGAGCGCTGCTGGTAAGTGGGAAAGACTAAAGGAGGCAGTGGGGGAGAAGGGCTTGATGGAAGGAAGTAGTAGCAACCAGAAGAAAGGAGGGTTTGCACCCTTGTCTTCCACTCAGACTTGGCATAGCAAGCTTGGAAGACTATATAGAGTGAGAAAGAGAGGAGAGGAAACAGACAGAGAGCCAGAGCAGACAGAGACCTTCCTTCCCTTTCCACAAGGAAAATCCAGGGAATGTCAGGACAAGGCAACAGGACTAGTGGGGGAAAACCTCAGGACTGTAAGTGATTCTGGGGTTTATTTATGTAATAGCAGGCCTCAAGGCCACTCTAAGGTTTTGGACTCACTGCTTATGAATGTCGAAAGGCCATAAATGCTGTTATGTAGTAGGCAGGTGACTTTACTGTCTGGCTTTAACTCATTCATCTACATAGAAGAACAGAAGGAACTTAGGCAGGGCTGTACTGGAGCTAGCTTGAACGGGGGCAAAAGAGCCAATTATTAAAATTTCAGTGTGAGCATTCACCCCTCAGAAATCAGTGAAAGTTACAAATCAGGGCTCAATTTATTGTTTTCTTGGTTACCTAGATAGGAGTGGGGAACCTGTGGCCTTAAGGCCACACGTGGCCCTCTAAGTCCTCAAGTGAGACCCTTTGACTGAATCCAGACTTCGTGAAGGTTCCTCATCCTTGGCCTAGAATTAAGAAAATAATGGAGAAAGTGTTAATATTGCAAGTTACACTTAAAAGTACATCACCTGTACCCTTTTCCCCAAGCCTCTTTTTTTTGGGGGGAGGGGGGAGTTATGTCAGGGTTAAGTCACTTGCCCGGAGTCACACAGCTAATAAGTACCTGAGGCCAGATTTGAACTCAGGTACTTCCTGACATGAGGGCCACTGCTCCAACCACTGTCCCACCCAGCTACCCCTCCCAGAAATCCTCTTGTTAAACATTTACCAGCATAGCACTGGACTTAGGGTTCAAAAACTGAGGGACCCTGAACTCCATAGTTCCTGAACTCCATTCAGGCAATAACCATTATATGACATATAATATAGCTTTCAGATTGGAAATGTGGAGGTTTATGGAATGCTTATTATAGGTGAGGTCTTTGACAGTGACTTTGATTGAGAAGAGGAATCTAAAGAAAAGACTAAGCTTGAGGATATTAGGTAGCTGGAAACCCTCTGCTCTTTGCTTTAAAGAGCTTGGCACCTGACATTGAAGATCTATTGCTGGTAAGGTGACAGGCCTCAGTAGCCAATAATCTGAGGGAATGAGTCAAGAGAACCCAAGAGGAGAGACATTTTTGAGGGGGTAGAAGAGGTGGAGGTCTGTTTACCAGCCAAAGGTTTCCGACTTTTCTAAAAGAGCTAGAAAAACCTGTTCTTTCCTTCAAGGAAATCATAAGCAAGATTTTCAGAGGAATGAAAATCTACAGGGAACAGACCAGCGCCCAGAAGGCCAGATGTCCATTTAAACAGTGACCAGAAAGTAGTAGTTAACAGAGAAGAATCCAGCAGATCAGCATATGGCAGAAGAGTCTATGCATCTAAGCAGCTTGTAGCAGAAGTTAAAAAGCCAGTAGAATGTAGGCCTGGAGAGAAGTTTACAGTGATATCATTAGAAGATATCAATGGCTCTTAAGTACTTCAGGCATAATTTGTCTCTCCATGCATGTACCCTTGTCACATATGTTTTCTGTGTGTCAGTCCCTCTACATGCGTGTGTCCTTGTATGTGTGTGCCCTATATTTATCTACTTTTCTCACTTGGACTGTATTTATTTGCACTGGGGAATGTACCTCAAGTTTATAGGAGATATTTGTGGCTACTTAATATACTATTTCATTAAACGTCTTTGCTTTATACTTATTGTATTCTCTGGCTGTCCAATAAAGATGAATGCATCGATGGAGCTAGCAAGCTATGGTTTTAGAGAATGTAGACCCATAGAATATATTGAACATAAGGTTCACCAGGGGAACCTGTCCTGAGGGCTAGAGGGTTGGTTCCTTCAAATTTTTGGGACTAATGATTTTCATTCTAGGATTTCCATTTTACATTCCTCTTTTTAATAAAACCTTCTTCTCTGACATTGTGACTTCATGCCTGCTAATGGTCTCAGTATACAGAGGAGAGGTAACCATGCAGATGTTATAAGGAAACTAGGAGGTGCATTGAATAGAGCACTATACCTGGAGGCAGGAAGCACAGAGTTTAAATCTGCCTCAGACACATATTAGCTATGTGACCCTGAGCAAGTCACTTACCAGCCTCAGTTTTCTCATTTGTAAAATGGAGATAATAGCACTTATGTCCCAAGGTTGTTATGAGCATAAAATGAGATAATGTTTGTAAAGAGCTTTTCAAAATTTAAGGCACTATCTAAATGCTATTATCATCATTGTCATCGTTGTTGTTATTTCATCAGCCCTTACATGCTTCCTGATCGTGTACAAAAGAATTCAGATATAGGCAGGCTAACAATATACTCAGGGGGATGGGGTGGAGTGATACCTGTGCATTGTGCCAGGGAGGAAAAGTGAGATTGAATGGACATGGGATGCTGTTTCCAGAGGGTAATCAAGCTTGTTCTGGGATTCAAGCTTCTTTCCCATTGTTGTTAGTTAGAGTTATACATGCTCAATATGTATCTACATGGAAGAATTCAGGTATCCCCTATGTTATTCATAATCCTGTGTATTAGAACTATTTTAGGTCTGAAGGAAAGAATTTGGGAAAGGAAGATGATTAATGTCTCCTGTCCATGTTATTTCCTACATCTTTCATTTGCAACCAGCTTCTCTGTTTGGTTTCTTCCCTCCCCCCTCTTCCCTTCTCTCCATCAAAATAATGTCATCACCAATAAATTCATCACCACGTAGATTGCTTCAGCTTTGGTACTAATACCTTGTCAGTATCCTCAGTTGTGTCTGCCCCTCTGATTGGAGGGCTGGAGGGTGGGGCACAAGCCCCTCCCATAACCTCACTTTAAAGAGGCCTCGAAATGCCAACCTTCTCTTCATTTGCCACCA